TAATAATATTAATAATAATAATAATAATAATAATAATAATAATAATAATAATCCGAGATATAACATTCATTCTTTTTTCTGGGATGCATTTTTCATTAAAGTTATTATTGTTAATTCAATTATAATGGCTAAGTAATTAACTCAAAGCGTACAAAGTTAGTTCACATCAATGGTAACCATTACTTCCACGATTTTTGATAATTCTCAGTAAAGATACGCTTATACGTAATAAATCTTAAAATGAAAATTAATGGAGAAGATAAAATAAGCCAAAGAAAAAAATCTAACATATATATATATATATACATACATACATACATACATACATACATATACAACAAAATATAGAATAAGTATAAAAATGATGAAGGTTTGTTCGACGATTATGTATTAAAACCAATTTGAAAATTAATTTATAATTATGATACTGCGAATGTTAAATAATTTAATGAATTATCTCACGTGTATCTAACGTGTCCTTGTTAAATGTTGAAAATTAAATCATCGAAAACAACAACAGGAGGAGGAGGCTCTCTCTGGCAAAAGAAATATGAATTAATATGCGAATTGAAAAATATAATTAATAAATGATTTTTTATTACATTTCCAATTTGATCGTATATTACACGTTCGAAGAAGAAAAATTATGTTCTGACTTCGTACCAGAAAAAGACTGTTAACCCTTTTATCCCAAAATATAAATACGTTACTGTATACTTTAATTTTTTTCTTTTTTAATTAATATCGTACATTTCATTACTGTACATACACACACACATACACATATTCGTTGTTATCTAGTCAAGAATTAATATATATATACATGGATCTTTTCGTTTCGAGGATTCACTCTCTTCCATCCATCAAACATTTTTTTTTTCTTTTTTCTTTTTTCTTTTTTTTTTTAGTTTACGACTGATGATGACTGTTTTAACAGAGTTATATGCATATGTATAATAACAATATTGTATACACTATGTTCGGAATAAAATGATAAAATTAAATGGGGTGTTACTAATTTATTTTTATTATTAATAATAAATAGAAATATAAATATACATTTTTAAGAAATAATTTAACAARAAATTATAATAACAATTATTGATTAATACCAATTATTGTATTTTGTTTCGTAATATATATATTTTCTTTTAGAAATCTTCATAGTATAATATAGACGATTATATATATTTGATAAATAATTTATTATCATAATAAAATGTATATACAAAGAATAAAGAGTACAGTATAATTATATAACGGGGTGATATTAAAATTAGATACATTTTATACAAATGAAAATGAAAAGAAATTTTTCATTTATCGACACGAATATTTTATATAATACTGCTGTGCATTATTATTAAAAAAATAACCAACACTATTATTGTAAATACTTTCTATGGTTATTATTATTATTGATCAAAGATATTCGTTTTATTTTTCAGAATTAGAATCGTTTTTTGTAAGAAGATTAAAAAAACCAATGTGGTTCCGATACTTTATTGGATTATTTTATCAAGGTGGTGAGTCGTGGTTCATTTTGTTTTTTTTTTTTAAATATCAGCAGGTTCGAGTTTTAAACTGATAAAAAAATTGTCACGATCCTCTCTGTAACGTGCCTTTAATAAAAATTCCCTGGCCATGGTATTTCTCGAAAAATTATATCCCCTTGCAAATTTTTGACAATTGTTTAACCAAATCGACAAATCAAGGACACGTTTACTTTTATAATTCATTTTATTGAATTTTTCTTGATCTTGTTTTTCGATCGTTGATCTTAAAGTAATATAATTCCAACGATCGAAATATTTTCGTGCCAATTGTTGTTGTCTCAATGTAATCGATGATAATAAATCATTTTTTTCATTTACTACGTTACGATAACTTTTACATTTCAATTTGTTTAAAACATTTATTAGAATATTTTTATTCGACATTTCATTTGTATTTTGTTGATGATGGGATTTATCTTGTAATGATTTTTTAGAAATTGTTTTTGGAAATATCGTAACATTTTTCGATAGAAAATATTTCGAATTGTTCGATAGAATATTTTTCTCGGAAAATTGAGAAATATGAAGACCTAAAAGTCTAATTATAAGATCACCGATGTAAGGTATGCAAGGTGGGTTTCGTTTTGCTTTGGCCCATGCTCTTCGATACAAGGAAGAATTTGGATTTTTATAAATTTTACATAATCTTTCCATAATGGCGTATCTAAAATTCAAATTTATTCTCAAATTTGAATTTTATTAAACGTTATTTTAAATATAACAATTATAATAATCTTTCTCATATAAATATATAGTGTGTTAATTTACTTTAATATAATTAATTATTTGACTTGATATTATAATTTGTTTTGAAATATTAATATTTGATATTTTTCTTATTTTATTTATTTAATAAAACAAAAGTCAAATAGTCAAATAGTTTGATAAAAGGAAAGTTGAACAATAATTTCAATATGTAAAATTAATGAATAAATAAATAAATAAATAGATTACCTGTTAGCATGATGAGTACGTAAATAAGACCAACTAGATTTCAATCGATAAATCGGTGGTGCTTGGAGACCAGCTAAAATAGATCTGCAAGAATGAAAATTTCCAATATTGAAACACTTGTCAGCAGCATTGATTAATCTAGCCATCATTCTAGTTCTCATATCGATTTGTTTAACTGCAATTATTTCACTGATGGTTAAACAAGTAATCCTATGACCGAAAGCAACCAAAGCACCAAGATTCGGTGCATTTCTCGATGATCTTTGAAATACAATTATTTCAATTTCATTGATAGGTATTCGAATAAAAAGATCTCTATCAATCATAGTCAATTGTTTAGCAAGAGTTGTACTATCCAAGTCCCATACAGTTACACGCATTTCCAATCTCAATAATTTTTTCAATTGATACATGGCATCATTGTCATCGTCATTTTCTTTACATTCCATCTTCTTATTTCTTTTCTTATTAGATCCGTTAGTAGAAAAAATTCGTTTCAACAGATTACCCGATTTGTCTTCCAAAGAAATACTCGATTCCATTATTCCTTTACCAGATGGTAAAATGGATCTCTTGCGTATGTAAAAAAATTTTTTCTCACATTTCCGTTGTTCAGTTTTCTGATGATGATAATCACTGATAGATGCCAGATGTCTCCTGAGTTCTCTGTTTTATTATTGATCACGAAAGTTACTCGTTGATTATAAGACAACAAATAGGTTTTTGTTGTTGGTTAACACTAAACCTACCATGCATGGTCAAATGAACGTTTTGGAAATTTCGATTAGAATTTTTCGTATACAACGTTAGTGTATCATCATGTAGCTTCTTGACTTTTCCTATAATATACATACAACCCATTTTTTTAAATATTCCCCACCTTTTTTTATTGTTTACTTTTTGAAAAAAATCCATACCATGAGCGGTCATTTGATTGTTTGAAAAATTCATGATATTTAAGATTATATTCTTCGAAATTGTTTTCCTTAAATTGTTTTACGAGTCACTCAATGTAATTGTGGATCTATAATGTGTACAATCGAACGATTAGAATAAAATGCAGAAATAAAAAATTCTAAATAGAAAATCAGGTAGCGGGTGTCTTTGTAGCACTAGAAAAATATTTTTGTTTAATATCTAACTGGCAACAATCTCTTAATATTAAGATACATATGTTTTTTTAAAGCGGACATTTGACCGCTCATGGTTGGAATAGGTATACATGAAATGTTGGTAGGTTTAGTGTTAATAGATGTGTTGTATGAGGTTTGATGGTTAAAAGGAAAAAATAATTAGATTATAAAAAATAATTAAATAATATTAAATTAAATTAAATAATATTAAATTAAATTAAATAATATTAAATTAAATTAAATAATATTAAATTAAATAATATGAAATAATATCAAATTAAATTAAATTAATTAATAATAAAATTATTAAAAAATGAATAAATCCAGAAATAATTAACTTATTAAAAAATGAATAAATCCAGAAATAATTAACCTGTAAGCTGTGATAGCTGGTCTTGGTCTGTACCAATATTCCGGAGTCCAAAACAATACAACTTGTTCTTTTGTTGCTGGACCAATAGCACTGCAACCACCAGGTTCCAATGCACTGCATGACACACTTGCTATCAATTGACGACGAGAGACAGGTAATCTCAGTTCTGGTTCAATGCATTGTCTTCTTACATTAACTGCGCTAACCGTTCTACGACCTTGAACTGATTCACGTTCCCCCGATTGAACTGACCAAGGACCCAATGCACGAAAAAAATATGCTGCAGTGATCAAACCGTATCTCCTGAAATGTTGTTTGCCTAAATTTTTCCTTGATGGGGGGTCAGATCGATTATCAACAATCTTTTTTTGATTTTCCCACATCCTTACGCTACTTTCGATTAATTCGTAAACGTTTATCCGATTATTCTCACTTCCGTTCTTTGATTTATTATTATTATTACGATAACATCTTTGTGACGGGCCTAAAATTAAAGTCGAATTACATTTTTCCGGAACACCGAATCCGAATCGCGAAACTTTTGATATCAAAATGTTCGGTGATTGTTGTTGTTGTTTCTTTTTGCAATTAGATTTTGTCAATTTTTTAATTGGATATACAATCGATCTGTCGTCTAGAATTTTTCTCGAACTTTTCGTTGATTCTAAAAAAAAAAAGAAAATAATATTAGATTTTACTACAAGAAAAATTACGTATATTAAAAAGTTGTTGAGATAAATTTGATTAGGATTATAAAAATAATAACCAACCACGGTTATTATTGTTCCATAAAGTTTCCTGTAATATTTCTTGAGATTTGCAATGATCGCAAGAGGAACAATTGCAACTTGTAAGAATTTGTCGATCTTTATTATCTCTGATGAATAAAACGTCACACAGATCATCATTAATGTTGTGTTCTGCTAGTTTTTTTGTATACTTATTATTATTGTTACGACATTCCGGCCAACTTTGACAAGGTTTTTTAATAATTATATTCGGAGAATGATCTGTCAATGTAGATTTGATTTCTTCTAAACTAGCACCAGCAAATCTTACAGGAATTGGTGTATAATAACCGAATATTAATTCGTTATAAGATGGACCAAGATATAAATCTTTGTTTAACCATGTTGGACGATTATTATCACCTGCACCACCCCCGTAATGAGCCCAAATTCTATACACGAGAAATATTCATTTGTGTTCATTTTTATTTCATTTAATAATTCGTTCATTATTAATTATTAATTTGTACAACACACCTGTATACGTTTCTTTTCTTTTTCACCGACAAATGATTTCCAATTTCAATTTCGGATGATAAAAAGTATACGGTTGTTGTACTCGAAGAACTTGCAACACTTGTCTCGGACAATGAACTACTTTTTTTTCTTTTTCGTTCTAGTAAACCACGTATATGATCGCACCAAATTTTCCAAAATATTTCTCTACGATTAATTCCACCTAACTCGTAATAATGAATTCTACCATCTATCAGCCTGGAAAGATCCTAATTTTATTCGTAAGGGTTGATCCAATTGATAATTAATACGGGGAAGTATAATCCGTATACGGTGAACATTTGGATAATATATAATATATTTATCTTAAATATTATTAATATATATAATAATATATTATATATGTAAATTTGAAATTTAAATTTCTAATATATATATATATATGTTACCGTCAAAGTAAATTGTGCATCTTTGTAATTTCTTTGAAAAGTTTTGATAAATATTTTTTATACTTTTAGCGAATAGATTTTAATGAAACTTATATTAAATTAAAGTAAACTTTTTTCTCTAGAATATTATATCAAGTTATAAATTTAGCATGTAAAGTTCAGAAAATGTAAGAGAATGCAGTGCTGTAAATTGTGCATCTTTGCAATTTCTTTGAAAAGTCTTGGTAAATATTTTTTACACTTTTTGCAAATAGATTTTAATGAAACTAATATTAAATTAAAGTGCATTCTTTTCTCTATACGTAGAGTACAAATTTGTGTTATATAACAATTTGCAAAAGTTCATAAAATAGCAAAGAATGCAATGCTGCAATTTTTTTCCTACTTTGCCAACTCTTTGAAAAGTTTCGGCAAATATTTTTTATACTTTTAGCAAATAGATTTAAATGAAATTTATATTAAATTAAAGTGCATTCTTTTCTCTATACGTAGAGTACAAATTTGTGTTATAAAACAATTTGCAAAGGTTCAAAAAATGGCAAGGAAAAATTGGCGGACTAGGCAATGTGAGTAATGCCTAAGGCCAGGCATTGTTA